TTGTTGTTGTTGTTGTTGTTGTTGTTGTTGTTGTTGTTGTTGTTGTTCAGAAGAATGTGTGGATATATTTAACCCGTATGCATAGATTTGACCTTGCAGAGAGACATTAGAGAAGATCCACAATAAAGTCAAACTTGTTTTTAAAATGATTAAAGTTTGTTGTAGAAAGATTCCACTCTGTCAAAAGAACAACTCTAATAAATCCTTGAAAGATCTAAATTATTACAACTGTTGTGACATGTGGATGGAAACATCTGGTCCCAGCTGGACACTCACAAAAAACATTTAGGTTTGTTCCCTTCAACTATAAACCTTTTATGTAAACATGAGCCGAACGACATAAATTAATTAAAAGTTTTCTGTCAGAACTTGAAATGTTAAACAACTTGAATAAACTCCAGAACACTTTCAGTTTGGTCCCGTTCTTGTCTCGGGAGCCACGTTGGGTTTTGATGAGCTCTTCAACAACCAAACGTAATTTTAATATTCGTCTTCAACAGCTGACCCAAACTGAACGGTTCTGTTGGTACTATCGATGGCGTCAGACCCGTTTTCACTAAAGCCCTGCGGTTTCTGTCTCCGATCAGGATGGGTTCAGATATGGCAGCCATGTTTGCCCCCAGACTAAAGGTTATTGTTCCAGAAGCGTTTGTGGCTGAACTGGAAAATGCAGAACAGATACAGAAATGCACACAAATCCACCGCCATGTTCTGGTGCAGGCATGTGTTCGGGATTTGGACCCGGTACTCACAACGGCACTGATACCGTTATGAAGCTTCACCTGAGTGGGATTTATAAAAACTATGAGGACTAAAGTCAGGACCGTTGCAACATTTCTCACCAGACGACAACTTCAAGAAGATGTTGGAAGTAAAAGCTGAGCCCAACTCACCTGGTCTGTGTTGGAGTAAAAACAGGAGGTTATCATCAAAATAAAAGTTAATACAGATGTGGCCAACCTTCTGCAGGCTGCACAGCGTAGTGCCTGGACCCAACAACTGCTCCCCGCATGTTGGTCAGTTAATGATCAATCCTGAGCAGGTTCTAGTTGTTCCTGTGGTCACGGCACAAAGTTACAGCGAAGAGGCCGATGCTGTCAGCGTTACTCAAACGTTGCTCTTTCGGCTCTAAAATCTAAAGGACTAGACGTGAAGAACGAGAAATCAACAAATTCTTATCCAAATGGTGCACAAACTGCTCGGGTACTATAGACGGCAGGTAGACTCCTTTTTGTTCCTTAAACAAAAAGTAGCTTCAGTTCAATTCAAAAATACTTTATCATTCACAAAGGGAAGTTAAACTGTAGCTCATCATCCTGGTTTCATTCAAGAGTTGATAGATGCTGATAGCTGTGGGCAGGAAGGATCTCCTGCTGCGAATCCAAAGAATCTGGCCACAGATACTGATCCATCCACCCAGATCCAGCTTGCTGTCGGATCCGGCGGGCCTCTCGGTCCTCCTGGGCAGCAGGACCGCACGAATGCCGGACAGAATTCCTCCCAGAGCAACGGTCACTCCTCCCAGCAGTCTGCCGAGCTCCTCATTCAATTCAGTTCAGTTCATTTATAAAGCACCAAATCACAACAAAGTTGTCTCAGGGACTTTACAGGAACATTCACATAAAAAAGCCAATTAGTAAAGTTCTCTATCTAAGAATCCAGCAGACAAGTTGAATCTTGGCTTCGTTGCAGTCTCCCATCCTGAGCAAGCACAGTGGAGACAGTGGAAAGAAAAACTCCCTTTAACAGGAAGAAACCTCCAGGAGAACCAGCTCAGGACAAGAGACCATCTGCTTTGACCGGCTGGTTGAGAGGACAGGAAGGAGAGACAGACGAACACAGAATGGTAGGTCCAGATATAGGTCCAGGTCCAGATATAGGTCCAGGTGTACCTGAAAGACAAAAAACCCAAGCTCCTCATCACCATGGACAGACAGTTGAAGAAGCCGGGGATGATCCCAGTCCTCCTGTTGTCACGAGCCAAGTTTCCTATCAGCTCCAGGATCTCAGCAGTCAGGTACTCGAGCACCGCCACCAGGTTGACGGGAATTCATCCACGGCACCTCCTTTTCAACTCATTTGGGATTTGGGGCTGTAGCTGAGATACTTAAGCTTTTGAGATGTTAATCAGCTGCTCCTGGTAGTAAAAAAAACACCTTGTTGCCATGGTTACGCACCATAACAAATGCCCTAAAGTTAAGAGATTTCAGTAAAAATGGGGCGGCTGTGGCTGAGTGGTTAGAGCAGTCGTCCTCCCATGTGAGAGTTGGGGGTTCGAATCCACCAGCAGTCACATGCTGAAGTGTCCCTGGGCAAGACACTGAACCCCTCATTGCCTCTGATGTGTGTCCCATCAGTGTATGAATGTGATCTAAAGCTCTGATTAGTCTCTTTAGAATGATTTGTTCAATTAGCTTTGTAGAGATCTAGTATAGAGCTGTATGAATGGGTCAATGAGGCACAGATTGTTGTAAAGAGCTCTGAGTATCTTGAAATAAGATAGAAAGGAGCTGTATAGGTACAGTCCATTTAAAAATCCTTCCAGCTGCACAGCATCCGACACCAGAGAAAGTAATCATCCGAAAAAAAATTATTTACATCCAGAAAAAAAGACAAACTAAAGTTTTCAAAAGCAATAACTCAGAATGAAAGTAACAGAGCTGCTCCAACATGCAGCCACCCAGAGCGGCGCAACTCTAGAACACAATAAAGAGAAAATTCACAATAAAGCTAAACTAAAGAAACGTGAAACACCCGGCGCTGAACATGGAGAATGGATGAAACTGTTGGAAGCAAACAAAATGTTCAGTTTAAACTATATTAGAATGGATTTAGTGTGAAAACAACACAAAAGGTTGGTTAGCTGAACACGCTGAAAAGCTAAGCTAAAACAGCTAGCAGCTGAAGCTAAACATTAGCTAAAGTTAATGTTAAAGTAGCCTACTGCAAACAACCAACAAAAAAAACTTCAATACAACTCTAAATAAAAAATTAAAATAAAAACTGAGCTGAGCTAAATGACATTTTGAAGCTGACAATTAAATTATATAATTATATATGCTAAATTAAACAACAATGCTAACTTCAGCTAGCAATGAAATAACATCAAGTTTACCTACTTTATAACAAAACTGTTCAATAAATTATTAAAACCTGTTAATAAAACACCAGCCTATGTATTCAGAACGGTAACGTAGCTTCAGTACCAAACTAGCTAAAGTCCAATGTTCAGCGCTACCTCACAACAAAGCTAAACAACCGAACATGCTAAGCTAACGTTAAACAGCAGCAGTTGGACTGGATCTGCATTTAGAGGTTTCTTGTTGCCCTCAGATGCTTTAAGTTTGAAAATCTTTTCTTGGGGGCGTTCCTGAAAATGTTTACAGATATCTGAGCTCCAGGAAGGCGTCCGGGTCTCATTCAGTTGCTCTGGATTTAAAATCACCGTTTTGTTCACTCGGTCGTCGTCTTCAGCTGCATTATGGTGCTTTGCACACTGTGGAACGAGTGGGCGCATGTTTGTCTTGTTCTGACGCCACGTTCCAGCCAAACGCCCCCGCAAACATCTCAGTAATGTCGCTCTGCTCCATTCACCCCCTCATCCTCCCAACACCTCCGCTGCGAGTCTGAACCGTGAGCGAAGTTCACAACGAAGGTGAGAAACAAACATCTGAAACTGAAACATGAACTGCTGAACCAAACATGGCAGCTCAACTTTCAGGGGGAAATGACCCACCACCTCCACTAATGGCAAGCAGAGTGGAGGAGAGCAACACTCCAAGCTCCGCCCCTTTTTGGGTGAAAACAGCCCAAATGTGTTAATTAGGCATGAGTGTGTCTCCTGGGGCATTTGTTCAGAAAACAGTGAAACTTAAGGCTGATTAAAGATGTGAAGACCCAAATGTTCTGTTGTCATACAGTTATTGATCCGACAGTGATCAATGATGATGATGACAATGATCGCCGGTGATGAAAACTTTCATAAATATGGATTAAAGTTCATCAGACGGGATGAACGTGGCCCCACGGCGTTTTTCACATCTTCATTTATTTAGTGGTTTTGGTGGAAGTAACGATAAACTAATGAAATAATTGTCAAACAGCGTGCTCATACTTACACCTTTAATCTCAACTTCTTCTTCTTTTTCTTCTTCTTCCAGCTGTTCCCTTCTTCAGGAGTCGTGACGGTGAACTAACTCTCACAAAGACTTGGTGACTGTTTTTACACCAGATGTTCTTCCTGATCAGACACGGAGCGACCACAGCCTCTGTGTGGAGCAGAGAGCTGCAGCTAGGGCGCCCGGGGAGCAGATGGTGGGGGTTACTCAAGGGCCCAGAGTGGGGCAACTGAGGGGGGGGCAGGCGTTTCACCTTTCTCACCCACATTTTGATGTTGTTGGTCCAGGGAGTTGAACCGGAGAGCTTCTGATCACAGGCCCACCTTCTCTAACCTCTGCTCCACCACTCCCCTACGTCTTTTATCTCCAATATGATGCAAGATGATGTTCTGCAGTTCAGAAACACTTTGAGCGTCAGAGATGAAGATGTTCAGCAAACAGACATGGAGTCTGTTGCTAAACAAAGAAGCGTGAGTCATAGAGAGATGGTCTTCAGGGCAGATGTTGGAACGCTGCTCAGAGACGTGTTTTATCATGTTTCATAAGAGAAAACAACACCTGGGTTAGTTCTTGAACAGTGATGACATCCTTCACTTCTAATCCTTCACTTCTAATCCTTCACTTCTAATCCT